CAGGGAAAAGATATTGGGTAACAAGTACAAGTTACTCCTGAGGAGATTCCAACTGGATGCAACAGGAAAATATTTCATAATGAGAACAATGAGCCATTGGAATAATCTCCCCAGGGAAGTGGATTCCCCAACATTAGACACTTCTAAGATTCACCTGTAATGGTGCTGGACTATCTTGTCTAGATGGTGCTTTTGCTAAGAAAGTTTAGACCAAATGATCCTTTAGGTCTCTTTCAACTTGGTATTTTTTTATTCCAGTTGGAAATGCCATCATCCACAAAGCCACTATTACTGTCAGTTGTCTTCTTCAACCTCACAGGCAAGTTCTTGGACCTAGTGAACTGGGGTGACACATTTGTAGCCTCTTTGGACTCTCTCAAGTAGATTCCTGTCCCTCTTGAACTAGAGAGCCCAGAACTGGACACAATACTCCAAGTGAGGTCTCACTAGGGCAAAGTAGAGGGGGAGGAGAATCTCCTTCGATCTGCTGGACACACTCCTCCTAATGCACCCCAAGACACCATTGGCCTTCTTGGCCACAAGGATACATTGTCTGTTCTTTTACAACCAACATCCAATGGTTCTTAACTCAGAGGCAAAATTTACACTAGCTTCCCTGTGCAGGGAGTAGCAGTATGACTTGTCTGCATGCTACCCTTCCTTCTCACTCCTAAAAAAATAAAGAAAGGCAACTCTAGGAAAGTGATGTTACCACACAGACACACCACATACACCTGAGAAATAGGATGTTGGGCAGCCTGGGTTCCTGAAGCCTGTTCCTCCATGCTGGATTGGGCTGCCTTGATTTGTAAGGGCTAAAAATGGAGCTTCTAGCTAGGATAATAAGGATCTTGCTTCCAAAACAGCTAACTTAAGATTATGGCAGCCTCTGTCTTCATGTATTTTCATCCAGCTGGAATTAGAAAGAGAAAACATGCTTTAATGATAAAAGGACTGATGCAGAAGACAGGAAATGCTGAAGAAATTTCAACCAAAGAGAACCCTTAAGGGACCCATAAAAATGCTGCTTCTTTCATAGAGTGCAAGAGATTTGTGATGTCCTGCCATGAGAGTTACTATTTATTCTAAGATTATTTTCCAGTCAGAACTTGCATAAAATTTAAAACAAGGTGGTTGAACTCAGTATGTAAAATTCCACTAAAACACATTTGATTAGAACTCTGGGAATAATTGGTTCTTTGGATTGATGAACAACGTGAGGCAAAAATCAGCCCAAACACACCTAAGATTGAATGTTGCTATATTGATTTTCTAGCAAAGTAGCAGAAATCCAGTTCCACTTCCTGGTATTTTAACAAGAGCAAAGCAACAACTCACCACTATTACACCAAAACTGCACTAAATGCAGCATCTCACTGTCTTATTCCAAAGGGAAACACAAAAGGAGAAAAAAAACAAGTGAAATATGGACACCTATGAGAACTACCTACCTGGAAGAACACCAGAATCAAGTATCCTTCTTTCCATTTTAGTTGACTTTACCTTAGTTTACATCAATGGATGACTTCAGGCAATTACCTTAACATAACCAAACACTGTTTATGGATAAGAGACATGATAGCTTTTGCACTTCATTTTGTAGCTAATGTTATGGTACAAATTCATGGTGCTTTCCTTCAATTTCAGCAAAAGTAACAACCTCCAAAAGTGGGTCCTAAATGTGAAGACAACTGCCTCATGCACCAGGCAGCTTTCTACAGCAACCACATGGGCCTGGGGATACCAGGCTGAATAGAACAGCCAGAGAAAAAGCAAAGAAGAAAATTAACATCTCACAGGAGCCTCTTTAGCTCATTGTCCCCAAGACCCAGGCTGAGAATCTTCAAGGTGTCAAGGCCTGAGGCAGATGATCTGCTTGACTTTAGCATCTGTCCTGGTTCTCTCTAGAGAACTTGACTGCAAACCTAATTTAACAAAAAGGATCTCAGTTCTTGCTCAGACTTCACCCAGGGCTTGATTGTGCAGCAGTAATTGTGCTGTGCTGGTGCTGCATGAGTTCCCCAAAACCACTGAAAGACCTGGAATGCAGGTGAGAGGATGGAATTCCTTCAGCATAATGAAGAAATACAGAGTAGGGGAGTCCTCTGAGTTGGTAAAAGCTGACTTGATAGCAGGGAAACATTGCATTGCATGCCAGGCACTGACCGGAAGAGAAGCAGCACAAATTAAATGTATGAATCTTCCTGTCTGAGAGGCCAGGACACAGCTACGTTCAAACAACTGTTAAATCTCACACGTGGATTCACTTGAAGAAATAATTCCCTTTTTCTCCCCAGTTATACCAGAGTACACAGGAGCACATTTACAGCAATGTAAGAAATCCAGCTTCTGATCTCAGTTCTCTCTGAAGACACCTGAATTTACATTTTCCACCTCTAAGTGCCAAAATAATTTAGGTATTGGTTATTATTCCAGAGGAAGGAGGTCTATTTAAAATATTTTAATATTTATAAGCATAAGGACTGAAGGCTAAGCATACCATACTTTCCACATAAGTGCCCTAACAAGCTGTGTTCACTCTCATGGCCTCATAAATATTTAGACACACTTATGAAGAGGAATAGCTTAACCTGAAGATATGCACCTCTGGTCTGTGACCAATTAGAAGATGATACTATTCTCAGTGTATGTGGTAATCACAGTCTCCCATTCTGAAAACTTCTAATAGGGTAAGACACATTTCCTGTACCACCAGCTTGAGATTGTTACCCTTGCTCCATTATTTCAGATCCCCTTCTGGTCCAAAGAATGTCAACAGCTTTTCTGAAATCAGAATAATAAAATATGCACAGACCATGAGGCAGAAAGAAAGACTTTCCTACATACAAATTAGACATCCTTTGTGAAACACAGAATTTGTGTTGGCTTCCCTTGCAGAACATAAATTTTGAGAGAAGTTGTATCAGTTAGAAAAACTGCATCTCCTGCACAGCATTAGACAAAGACATCTGTGGCCTCAAAAGACAGTCACCTCTGCCACTTCCTGGCCATCCTCCAAGGGCGCAAATGAGACCAGAAAAAAAAGGCTTTCAGAGATAACAACTTTTTGTCATGCTTTACAGTACGAAAGATGGCACTGTACCTAAACTTGCTTCAGTGTTAACACAGTCTAAGCCACTACTAGCAGCTAATATTTCATGCCCTGTTTGCTCTGTGATCCCCTCAGCAGCCTGTGGAAGATCCAAACTTACTGGAGAACAGTAGAACTGGCCTTTTTATCCATGGTTTGCTGGTTAGAAATGGTACAAATCAGACATTGAATCACTAAAATTATCATGACAGCTTATTTTAAAGTTATTTATCTTGCAGTGACACAAATTTACAGAAAATAATTCACAACACAGTGGATTTCTACCTCTATCAAACTCATTTACCAAACGGTAAAAAAAAAACCAGGAAAAAAACAAAGTACTAGCTCCTCAGGAAAGTTGCAAAAGACCACCAAAGGACTGGAAACGAGCACTTATTCAATCCTCTAATATTTAGTAATCTATTTCTTATTATGAGCAGTTCACAATAGGTAACAGAGCTTTACAGAGTTCAGAGTTCAGCAGAGAACAGAGTTCAGCAGGAAAAGAGAGGGAAGGACATAGGGACAGTTGGATGGTGCCCTACCCTCTGCTATGCTAAGGGCCTTCCTCTTGCCACTGAGAGCCCTTCCCTGTAGCACTGCAGTCTTTTGTTTGCAAGTTTGGACCCCTTCCCTTATTCCCTGGGAAAAAGCTGTGGCAGTGTTTTCATCCTTGTCCTTCTGTCCTTATGCTGTTCTCCTAGCTCTGCACCTGCAAAGCCCAAGCCCGCTATTGAGGTTGCCACAGGAAGTGGCTGACATTGATATGAGAATCTCCTTTTTCCCCACTTCACCCTTTCCTACCCCCATTTTGCAACTTTTATACAAGACAAAAAAACACCTGCTTTAAATAGCAGAGAGACATTTCCCAGTGCCATCCGTGCACAAAGCTTCAATTAGTGTGCGACTCTCGCCTCTGATCAGAGCCTGCTCCAATCAGTGCTAACAGGAACTATCAGCAGGGAGTTTCCTGATGAAAACTGTGCTGTTATTATCAGAAAAGTTTTATGGCAGACTGCCTGCTGCACTGGAGAGGATACCCAGGGGAGAACAGTCACCTGGGGAGATCCCTGAGATTATTTCCTTCTTTTCTGGACATTGGAGAGTGTTTTTCCTTAAGGTTCTTCACCACCCCTCAACAATCTTCAAGGTCATGGACTTGATGATCTTGAAAGTCTTTTCCAACCAAGGTAATTCTGTGATTTTTTTTATATTTGTTTTTGTCATCTTAAGCAACTGGTACCATAAAAGCTGCCATTTGCCAGCAGCTATGGACTGTCTTAATCTCCTTTGTGCAACAGAGCAGCTTGAAAATACCACTTTATATAGAAAGAAAATACAGAAAATTGCATTAATTATTGTGCAGGGGGGCAGCAGTAGGTTCAACAATCACATCATATTGAATATTTGTATTATTGTAATGAGCTCAACTTAAAGAACACAAGGACTCAAAGTCAGAAAATAATTTTCTGTACAGCTTCCTTCTGCAAAAAGATATTTGTATTAACCAAAATGTTCTTAAAATTTACACTATTTTCTACAAAAGTCACCGTGGTAATAAGCACTGGCTCTCTGCTACATCCAGTATTAAAAACATTAGTTGGGTCAAGGATTATAAAAACATCAAAAGCAGAAGCTATATTTTGAAGAATTCAAATAGCCACATGGATATTATTATTTTGGCTTGGGTAAAAAATAAAAAATTAAGAACACTGCACACTTGTGGTCTCTCATACTTGCAGGTTCACGTGATCCACACAGCGGCTACACCAGGAACAAGTCATCAGCAAGTAAACAATATCCTTGGTTTCAAAGTATATTAGTGATACATAACACACTGGTGTTATTCTCAACATACGGAAATATTCTTTAATAAAATGTATGGCTTATATAGTCTGAGACTGCAGACTCATTCCTTCTTTTTGGTAAAGTCATATGGTTTCCACCACTGTGCAAACTGCAACACCTTCTTCCTCTGATCCTCAAAATTCTGCCTGACTCCTTTTCTCCAGAGCCGTGGTTCTAAGTCCAGCATGCCACCAATGATTTCCTTTGCAAGCAGAACAAAGATAGATCATTATAAATGCAAAATTACCATATTACTTAATACTATTTTACCACAGAATACAGAAATACACATTTTCAAATTATGAGATTTGTCACCGTTTTATTCAAGTGCTAGTTATTAAAACCAGAAATTCTGAACCATATATCAATTAAAAAATTAGAACAGTAGCTGTCAGGTAATTGTCTCAGTAACATTCTTTTAAGTATAGCATAGCAATGCACTATATCAATATCCTAAGATTGCAAGACTGTTAATATATTAGAACATTTGTGACTAAAAAAAGAAAGCTGCCCACTTTGCCCTTAACTCTTCTAGAATTAAGTTATATTTCCCTGCATTCACTCTTCATGTTTTTGCAATATTGACTCTTTCAATAACTGATTGCTGTGACATATAGAAAGGAAGATCTTATTGCTGCTCTTCCTGTATATACTATACTCCCTATACTACATGGAGTAATTTAACCATATGTATTAAACTAGGAGCTGTCTGTGAGTTTGTATGTCTATGCACCCAAATTTATACAGACAGAAGCCAGTGAACCTATATGAGAATATTATGGTCATGAAAACCCTTTTTTTATTATTTTCTTCCCCTTAAATAAATGCAAGCATTTTCCATCTATTAGACTGTATGACAAATATCTAGAGTTCCTATTCTTTCAAAAGAAATATTGAGCTAGAATCACATCCTTGGTATCAGCCAGTGATGAAATGAATTATTCCTTTACTCAACAAGCTAAGCTACAATGACTCACCAAGAAAAGCCAGCTGATGAATTGGGACATCAAAGTACATCAAAGTAACTGTTCTGGCACTATATTTTTTAATTACTTAAAACTTTACAAAATAGACCATAATTGGTAAATTGATCTTTTACAAAACAGTACCTTTCCAAAGTAATGTGGGAACTTGTGTTGGTCTTCAATGACATGAGCAAATCCTCCTTGAAGGCCAAAGTCCACAGAAAAGTATGGCAATCCTTTAGGAACCTATACACACAAAAAGCATTTTTAGATATTTAACAAACTGTAGGCATTTAGTTAACATCCCCACAACTTGATTAATTTGAAAGTGTTTTTACAGTTGATAGTATCACACTTTAAACCCTCTTTCCAAACAAGTATGTCTAGTATAAAATTGTGACAGACAAATCGTAAAACAAACAGACAAGTGTAAAGAACAACACACAACTCTACAAAAAGATACTGAAAAGATGATTGTTGGGTGGCAGAACATCCAGAGACACTGTTGCATCTCCCAGTGAAGAGATGGGGAGGGACCAGGCAGCAGTAGGCACCCTGAGCAAAGGCCTTCCTGCCTCCATGTCTCTGAGTTACGTGGGTTGAACATAAATTTTAAGACAACCAGCAGCAAGTTGCATTTATTAAAGACAGGGTATTCTGTGGTAACAGGGGATATTTACCAAGTGGAAACACTGAAAACCAGGAGAAAAGGGAAACACGTCTATGGAGAACACTCTACCAGAAACCCCACTATATGATTGGAAGTTATCAGTAACTTGCCAAATTGAACAATTTAATAATTCAGTTAGCCCACAGAAGGGATGCTGGTTACTCTGCCACAAAGAAAGACCCTTCAGTCGGACAGAGTGAGAGGGCAATTAACTTATTGTTACAGTATTGGTATTCACTGCAACAAGTTATTTTCCAGTCTTTCAATTGCTGAGTATGTTCCTGTGAAGATAAGATTTACAATGCCTTAAATTCATAAGAATTTCCTCTGCTACAGTTCAAATAACTGCTTATTTTTCATAAGGTATGTTCCATATAATGCATGAACATTTACCCTAAAAAGTAGTAAGATTTAATACAGAGGGACAATGTAGCATAGCAAGAAACAAACAAACAAAAAAAGAAATTAACTAAAATAAAAATCACTAAATAAGGAAAAAAATTGCTACAGGGTGACCTTAAAGAAAATGTCAGTTTCATCTCACTTGTGTCCAGCAATGCATCAGTCCTGCTGGGATGGAGTTCATCTTCATCACAGCAGCCTGGATGGTGCTGAGTTTTGGACTGGTGACTAAAGCAGTGTTTTTTAACATGGCACTATTTTTTGGCTATTGCTGAACAGTGTTTGCTGCTGGGTAAAGTGTCCCCTCCTGGCTCCTTCCTGGCAATGTCCCCACCCAGCCTGTTGGCCACCCCCAGCTCCCTCACTGCAGAGAGAAGAGGGAGAAGCAGAGAAGGTCCTCACATTGTGCAAGGGCTGGATGCTTATGCTCTGCCTCTGGACACCACAGTCCCAATGCTTGCAAACAATCTGCCCATTAGATGATGTCTCAGCCATGTCTGACCCTTCTTCCAGACATCATCATCTCCTAATGCAACTCTCTGACTTCCTAAACCTCACCTTGGTCTCTAAACTATAATCTCTTATCTTCCTGAAGGCAACAGACACTTCTTTTACCCTAAAATAATGTTAAAATCACACAACTGTGTAACAATTTACACTTGGATGCATTGTATTGATTTAAAGAAGTGCAGTGATAACCGGAAAACTGGCCTGCCTTCAAATGGGTATCTAATAGTCACAGAAACATATGGCTAAGAAGATTCTTGAAGAAATCAAATGTCCTGTCAGGAAAATTATGCTTCACTCACGTGTTGGCTTTCCCTGTTCTGAAACATCAATGAGCAGAAGGTATCAAAAACACACCTATTTTGTTTTCTGTTATATACATTTTAAGTTTAAATTCTTCCCTAAGTTCTTGCTACAAATAAACTGAATTCCTTTTTGTCTGCATCCAGCAGCACTAGCTAACAACTAAGTACTCTCTTCTTTAAAACAATCTCCTGTGAATAGAAAACTACCATCACATCCCATTTCAGTCTTTCCTAGACAGCACAACCTCTAAACTAATTTCTTCAGTTTTCTATCCCATGTTTACCTCTTTTGTAACTGTCTTAAACTGCTGTGTCCAAAACCAGATTAAAATTTTCCAAGTGAATCACTACTTTGACTCCCATTACTTTTACATGGCATTTCAGTTTATATGGCAAAGTAAATGTTGTCTTCTTGCTATATTTGCTATTACTGTTGGTTTAGTTCAAGAGTCATCACAATATACAAAGCCTCTCCTATTTTACAGCCATCCAACCCCTTACTCTTCTGCATTTTCCTGTCTTTGTCATATCAGGCTTCATGCCTCAATTATTAAAACTCATCTCATCTCTTTCTCATGAACAAGGATCTTTTCAGTGCAAACATGCTGTATTTACTAAAAAACACTTCCAGAAATTATTACTAAGAGCAGTAAAGTACTTGTGGTAAAGCCTATATACCACACATCTTTCATTTAATATTAAAAAGATGAAACATCTTTTAACCTAACAGTTTTAGCATTATTCCTTGAAGATTTGTATATACAAGGATGTTTCAGCTTAGTATCCAGGAGACAGATACAGAACTGTTCCCTTGTTTTAGAAGAAATATTTAAAATAATATTTATATTTTTGCTTCCAAAACTGAGCAACACAAAAGGCTCTTCTAGGTCAATGAAAAAAAATTCATTGTATTTTGTCCAGGAAAGTAATTTGCAAATCTTTGATCTACCTTAATTCTTAAAGTTAATTAAGACAATTATGCTGGTACACATCCTCAAAGTGCCAGCTTTGTTCTCAACCAACGCTTGCAGCTCTGTCAATCTACAGTTCAAATAAATAGGAATCTTTTCCCTAATGTCATCAGGAGTTCAGTCAGACTCTTAATTCTCACTGATCCACTAATCTAACTTTTTCTATCCCTGAAACAATTAATAATGAAAAATGACAAGACAAATTTGCTGAGAAATTCCATGTTCAATACATTTCATTACTTACAGATTTCCGAATATCTTTTGAAGAAAGATCAATTAACTTCTTGTTCACAGACCACTCTTCATCGGACTCCATTATAGCTTTCTGTAAAATCATTTTTTCTAAATGTGAAAATAATCCTTCATACAGCAAGCAAAGAACTTTTCAATGTAGTGAAGTACACTGCACTGCAAGTACCAATTATTTCTTAACAAAGTAACTTCATTTTGGCAACCTTTCTGATTTCCAGAATTCACACACTTTAAAAGGGCATTGTGTAATATCCTCAAACTCACTTAGTTCTATTCCTCTTCTTTTTTTTTTTTAATTTTACTTTTGCCTGACACAAATTATCTCTAACAAGTCTCAACTAAAAGGTCACATTCTCTTTTTATTAAGCTCACACAAAACCTCTTATGAATTCATTACAGTACATTAGCCTTTTCTCTGTTTTTCTTTTTAAAACTCTAAGAGGAAAATCCAGCTTAGAAGGCTGATTGTGCTTAAAAGCCTTTAAAGCTCTCTCTGTATGATGCATAATATGGAAGTGGGTATAGTCTAGCACAGCATTGGTACCTTTTAAATTTCATTTGCTTTGTACTTTAATGGTGGAAACTTCTGAAAGAAAGCTTTATGCATATGACCTTGCATTAAATCTGTTTCCTCTTTACTTTAACATTCAGACAAAACACAAGTTTTACCAGCGCTTCAAGCACAGCAACTAAATCAAGCAGGTGGAAAGTTTCAAATATAGTAAAGGTTACTGCATGTCTGTTCATCATACTGACTGCTTCACTTCAACAAAAAACAATCAAATTACTTATTTTCAGAAAACAAAAAATAATAATTCAAAGAACAAATTAAAATAATTTATTTATAAAAGGCAAATTATTATCCAATTGCTGAAAGCTGTAAGGCCTCAGATCCAGGTGGGAAGTTCAATAAGCCTTTTCTCACAGTAAGTGGAAAGACACCAGAAAAGCTATTGAAGAAATATCTATCATGCTGTCTAATGTTTATTGGAGACATAAGGTACATGTAAAATTTGGACCTACTGAAATAAAATGGGGATGAGATATTATATACTGTAAGATGGTTGACTGTCTTTTCTCATTTTATGCTTGCCAAGGCACACGTACTGGGTTGTAAGTTGATACTAAAGTGAGGAGTGGTTAAGTGAGAAGTATTGCAATCCTTTCAGCACTTCAAGAAACTACAGTTCTCTCATCTTCTTCCAGTATTTGCCAGTGCAGCCAGCCTTGAGGCAAAGGCACAGTGACATTCCATCAACTACTTGAAAGCCAGAATTACCACACAGGGTTTGCTTCAAGATCAAGGAATAGGATGAAAGAATAGGATCGAGAAATAGGATCAAATAATCCACCTTCTCAAGAATAGTACTTGAATATAGAAAAAAGCTTTTCAGAAATTGTTGAATTACAATAAATATATTCAAATGACCTAAGAAAAAACGTTTTCATGTACCTTAAAGTAGATTGGAGCCATGTCTCCTACTTCTTTTGGAAGAGGAATGCATTCATAGATCATGTGATACCGTTTCTTCACACTCATGTTTGTTTCTAGGAACACACAGTCCAAGTCTTTATCTTCAAACATTTTTACCAGAGTTTTTCTGAACATCTGTTAAAGAAAAAGGACAGTGTAATTTGAGTTAGCTTTTAAAAACTTTCAGATATAATATCCTATTTCACTAATATATATTATATTAATAATAATAGCAGCAACCATACTAGAAAAATTCTGTATTACTACATTTCCTAGGACAGAAAGCTAGAAAGTCTAGAAAACTATTGTGAAACATGGATTATAATTAACACTAGAAACTGAGTTTTGATAGGAAACCACATTTTTCAGTTGAAATTAAAAATACATTGAACTTCCTAACTGTGATGCTCCATAAAATATGCCTTTAACAGTAGATCCCAAGCTTATGATTTCTAAGTTAGTAAATTGGCTTGCATTGACTCTAGATACCATTATCATTCCACTATTCATTCCAATTGCACAGCCATTTTTTAATTTTTTTTTTAATGACATTTCCACTAGGCATCCTTGACCTTCAAGGAAAATATTAATGCTGCCTCCAAAGAAAGCCATGGCTATAACCACCATCTTCCCTGTAAGGAAGCTAATGAAATGCAATACTGTAATACACCTGGGCTCTATGTCACCAGGTCCCCTTACAAATTAGGTGCTGTACATGCTCAAAGTGTATTTCAATTTATAATGATGCTAGCTCCAGTGTCAGGGTCCTGTACACACTAAACAGGCTCTGCAGCCTCTCATACCTACTGAGGGTCTGGCTGCCTGTGCAGATGGGCAGCTCTGACATGGTGCAGCTATAAAGTGGGATCAGACACACTAGAATGAGCTGGGGAAAAAACAGCTCTTCACTGCAGACTTGTCTGGCCATCACTGGGCTGTGGCTGACCCTGTCTACCATCAGAGGACCCACTCTCTTCTCCTGGCTTGAATACCATGGGAGTGTACCTTGTCAGTGATGTGACTTCCCCACCTGCCTTGTCCATCACCTTCCACCCACCCCTGCCTTTTTTCCCCTGGGGAGCAGTCTGCTCTTGCTGCTCCCTGAATCACAGAATCCTAGGGGTTGGAAGGGACCTCGAAAGATCATCTTGTCCAATCCCCCTGCCAGAGCAGGATCACCCAGAGCACATCACACAGGAACGTGTCCAGGTGGGTTTTGAATGTATCCAGTGAAGGAGACTCCACAACCTCTCTGGGCACCCTGTTCCAGGGCTTTGTCACTCTCACAGAAGTTTTTTCTGATATTTACATGGAACCTCCTATGCTCCAGTTTGCACCCATTGCCCCTTGTCCTATCACTGGTCATCACTGAAAAAAGCCTGGCTCCATCCTCCTGACACTCACCCTTTACATATTTGTAAACATTGATGAGGTCACCCCTCAGTCTCCTTTTCTCCAAACTAAAGAGACCCAGCTCCCTCAGCCTTTCCTCATAAGGGAGATGTTCCACTCCCTTGATCATCTTTGTGGCTCTGTGCTGGAGTCTTTCAAGCAGTTCCCTGTCCTTCTTGAGCTGAGGGGCCCAGAACTGGGCACAATATTCCAGATGCAGCCTCACCAAGGCAGAATAGAGGGGGAGGAGAATCTCTTTGGACCGACTAACCACACCCTTTCTAATGCACCCCAGGATGCCATTGGCCTTCTTGGCTACAAGGGCACATTGCTGGCTCATGGTCATCCTCCTGTCCACCAGGACCCCCAGGTCCCTTTCCCCTACACTGCTCTCCAGCAGGTCAGTCCCTGAACTGTACTGGTACATGGGGTTGTTCTTCTCCAGATGCAAGACTCTACAATTGTCCTTGTTGAATTTCATAAAGTTTCTGAATCTTGGTAGTTGGTATTTGTATCCAAGATACGCAAGAGCATCATTCTACAGCTTACAATGTAGCTGCTGAGCTAAACTATCAAGAACAAGGGATGGTTTCAGAGACTTATTCAGACTCATTTTCAATTGCGAAAAATTTCTGACTTTGTGACATTTCCAAGTGTCTCAAGACTTTGAAAATTTATTTTTAAAAATGAAGATCTTTGTATTATACATGCTCCCTATACCATTTCCCCCGTGTAAGTCCAGAAATGTCTTAAACAATCAATCTCACAGACCACAGGTACCATAGCTCTGCGACTCACATAACGCATAGCTTGTCCTTTTTTTATTAACAATACAAAATACAAACAACACCATTAAAAGGCTAATCCTATCTAAAGGTTTAAGATTTCCTGCTTTAATATAAATGGAAAGTTGATGAATTAAACAGGCATAAACAAATACACCTATTTATAAACATCAGCAAGTACTCAAGTAAAACAGATGGAAAACAAATCACTACCAGGTTTTCAAAGCAGCAGGACTAGAAATTGAGCTCTCTTCTCCACACCCCTTTGTCACCTTGCACAGTGTGAACCAAACTAAAAGTGTAAGAAACTTGGCCAAATACACATCCTAACCAAGTATTTAAGCTCTCCAAAGCAGGCATTTGTGCCCTGAATTTCTCCTCACAAATAAACTGCTCCACGCTGTGACAAGAAAATTGTACCACCACCCCAACACAACTCATGGAACACAGCTAGAAGGCACTGCCCAGTGTCACTGGGCACTGATCACTGTATCATGACTGATACAGGACTTTACTGGACGGAGCACCAGACAACTCTGAATTAAGAGCCTGTTGTCTTCTCCCCTTCGTCCTGGCCCCCAGACCTCTACTTCTGAAATACACCAAGGCAAGCAACTCTGGTGAGAGTGAGAAACACTAAACCAAAGGTTGCGAAGGACTATTACTAACAGTTGCTACCCTGCAGTATCGCTGAAATACAAATCCACTGGAAAGCCTAGAATATCTGCAGAGGTTAGCTAAGATGTTGCAGACTGCAATTTCTTGCTTATAAATACGTTGCACTTTTCCTCCAAATTCTGAGTAGGCAAATGCATCAAGGATAATTAGCACAGGAAAGCCAAAACCATTCATGAGAGCAAATAGGAGGACTTGTCTTATGCTTGGATGCGCATGACGTGGATACATTTAACAGTTGAGGCAATACAGAACATGTAAAGATTTATACACTTTAATATTAAAAAAAATACATCCGTTTTTAGTTTAGCAAGTAAGCACATCAATCTAACCCACACAAAATGTTAAATTCTAGTGCCTGAAGGCACAGAATATAAACCAAAACCCTCTTACTTTATTCCAACGTTTTGCCTTTTTTTTAAATCCCTAGCAAAAATAGCTAGCTAAAACATGACCTCAATACAACATTTTATGGATATTTAAAGTGTGGTAATTTTTCTTGCCCTCAACACTAATACAAAACAAGATTCTGGCATGAGAAAGTTAGTCACAGAGCTTATACCTCTGCTAAAGCCTTCCAGACTTCTCCTACTGAATTACACAGAACCTGGGGAAAAAAACAAACAACAAACACAACCTGTATCCATCACCTTCCAAAGTACTTTGCTGCAAATAAATGTTTAAACTGGCTAAATATGTACTCACAGACTCAATGGATAATGGTTTTACCAACCAGCTGCATTTTCTAACAAGGAAAAGACTTGTGTTGGAACACATGAACTACACTTGCTTATCTTTTCTTTATCCTTTTTTCCTTCCCATACAAATTTAGAAAAAATAAAATCTATTTCGTTCAATCAGGTTAGTACAAATAAAAGACATAGATTAAACATATTTATCACTCTCCCCCACATTCTGTTGTTCCTCCTGATCCCTACTTGTTGCACTAATCTGCTTCTTTTCCAATTCTTTTAAGCATTTCCATCACACAGAAAAAAGCTTTCCTTCCCCTTCCTGCCTGGGAGGCGCATGATTTGCTAGGAAACACCACATAAAAATTACAACTGCAATGAGGACCAATGTGGGGAGCAAATTTGTCAGGGCTGAGGCATCTGCCAGGCTTGACACAAGATCAGTGTTACTTAAATAATTTCAAACTAATGAATTAACCTGCTTTTAGATCTAAGCACCTGCAAGCAACAGAGCCCCTGTCTAGTCCAAAACAGTATTCAGTATTTTGGTTTATGAGGCTGCAAGTTGTTTTCCTCTTGTAATAATCCTGATGGTGGGGATGAGAGACCAGTCACTGTTTCTCTCTTATGTTACATTCCTCCCTTTATTTTCCTTTTCCAAAGAAAAAAGAACTCAAAGCCTTCAAAATGTCTTCATAAGAGAAGTGGAAAGCAATTTCCAGTTTTCATCATATTTGACAGTTTATTCTAATAATTCTTTTCAAAAAAGTACAACATTTTATTCTAACTGGAACTTCATTGATTTCAAGAAGAATGAGAGTTCTCCCTCAATTGTCATCCACCCAACCCCCAAATTAGCTTAAAAACCTGAGGATATCTTAACAAGACATCTTCATCTAGTGTTTCATTGTGATTGACCTTTTTGTGCTGATAATCCTTTTCTTTTCCTTGGCACTTCCAAGCAAATCCTAACTGCCAAGCAAATTATTCCTCTTTCTGTAAGGGATCAGCTGTACCAACATCAAGTCTGACAGATGTTCTTTTCTTCTGGTTTCAAAGACCTTCAACAACAGAAGTTCTGCAGCACTCCAGGCAACTTCTTTTAGTGCTCATAAAAATGAGGATTTTTCTTCAGTGTCTACCCTACATCTCTCACTTTCAAGTTTGACCAGTACTTTTCATCCATACTGCAAGAATGTTCTGCCCCTTAAGAGAATCAGAAAAGAACTGCGAGGTTGGAAATTATAAAAATAGGAACTTACTACAGGTTTACTATTATTCAAAACAATAATTATTTTACAAAAATGTTAGAACATGAGACAGTTCCTCAGCTGACCTGGATTTCTTCCCAGATGTCTTCATCCAGAAGCGTGGCTGCAGTGTGGTGCTGTAGAGGGGCTATTAGGCAGTGACCTTCAGTAAGGGACTGGTTGCTTGGCAGAGACAAGTATACCTATAAAAAGTGAACAAAAACTGAAGTGTCCATTTTTCTAGCATTAAAAACCTTACCACTGCTAAGGCTATGAAATACATTATTCGCTGAAACTCAGATGGACAGAAACCATTTCCTTCTAATTACAGCAAGAGATTAACAACGTTAGGGTTTTAAGAAAGGTCCCTTTATCCATCAGTAGCTCTAATGAACCAGAACTATCCAGACAGCAGCTCCACTAACAAGGCAGTAATATCAGCCTTATACACCAACTACCATCTGAATTATTATGAAATCACACTGCCTAGTCCATTACAATGTATTTGTAAGCATAGATATAAATATTTTAAATGAAATACATATTAAAATGCATAGAAATATAGATATATTGTCGTGTATATATGAGATACATAACCACAAATGTTTACGGATTATATAAATACAAAGATACATATCTGTATGCATTTTATATACAAGCTATCTATATAAAAAATTAAGTGCAATGTACCATAATACATTTATGCATTTAATTCCTTGGGCTACAAAAAGTTTCAAGTCAAATGGAAAACATCAATAAGAAATGAAAACTCTGGAGAAAGAAGGACAAAAAAGCCTATGATGAGGCATTTCATGTGTTATAAATCCAAATATTTATGCAACTTTTTAAAGCATTAACAGAAAAAAGAAGGTTCCCTGTACCAAGCTTCTGTCTGTTTCAAAGGATTTTAGGCTTGTCCTCTTAATTTTCTTTTATATCATTGAGATACAATTCTTCACCAATTCAAATTTCCTCCAGTGCAGTGTGATTTAGTCTTCCACAAATCCACCTACAGTCTAATCTCTGCAATCAGATCTTTCATTATTGCTCCTGTCTTCCACAAAATGTTCTGATATTAGAGATTAGCTTTATAATTCATGATGGATTTAGATCTTTTTCTCCTTCACCCCTGAGGAATTTGTGAAATCAACTGGAACGGCAAAGAAAATAAGATGAAGAACAATATGAATCATTTCATACAAGTAATTTTGTTCTTAATCTTAGGCACTATCATCAACACTGCCTTCCTTTATTTCTTTTCTGTTTTTACATTTGTGCTAAATTGCTATTTTCTTACCTTGGTGCCAATTGCAATAATAAGATGTTTAGAAAGTTCACTGCTGTCAAAACAGTATGGGCACTTTTCCATGCGTGCAGCAAGTTGCTGGTGCTCACGTATTGCTTTTCTTCTTTGTATTTCTTCCTCTTCCCCACTGCGTGCTTTTTTGGCTGCTTTGGAAACAAACATGTCATCCAGAGTGTAGTACTCTCTGTCAGTTTTTTCCATGAGCTGAAAAAATACACAGAAAAAAACACGTGTATAAAAAAAATAGAAAAAATACTTAGCTCTTTTTAGTCTCCTTTATTGAGAATACAATCAAGTGTGTAAAGCAGCAGCATTGCCTCCTTCCATGTGGCATCTGCAGCACACACAAGAGGGACATCTAAGAGCAGTCACGCACTATCTTAGACAGCAGGTATTAAAATACAGATGTGTGACAGAAGTGAGAATACTACATTCCACCTCAAGTTAAGGGCTAGGTATTTCAATTTTATCTTGACATAAATTCAGATTTACAAAGATGCACAATTTTAAAAAGAATATATTTTATTTCAGTCTTCTTCTTCCTCCTCCTCTTCCTCTCTTATTACAACTATCATTATTCATTAAACCACTTCATGAAATAAATAGACCATAACTCTGCACCTCATATTTTATTTTGTGAAAACATGCCATCAGTTATAGAACCACAGAACTGTTAAGGTTGGAAGGGATCTGAGCAATCAGGCTGCAACCTCCCTGCCATTAGCAGGGACACCTCACACTAGATGAGGCCACACAAAGCCTCATCCAACCTGGCCTTCAACACCTCCAGAGAGGGGGCTGCCACAACCTCCCTGAGCAACCTATTCCAGCCCCTTACTACCCTCATGGCGAAGAATTTCTTCCTATGTCTAACCTAATTCTACCCTCTCTCAGTTTAAAACCATTACCCCTTGTCCTATCATGACCCTCTCTGGTGAAAAGCCCCTCCCCAGTTTTCCTGTAGGCTCTTCAGGTACTGGAAAGTTCTATAAGGTCTCCTTGAAGCGTTCTCTTGAACAGCCCTAACTCCCTCAGCCTGTCTTCAAAGCAGAAGTGCTCCAGCCCTCTGATCATCTTTGTGGCCCTTCTCTGGACAGTCTCCAACAGCTCAATGCCTTTCCTGTGCTGAGGGCTCCAGAGCTGTATGCAGTACTCCATTATTCTTACCAAGTGAACAATACTAAATAATTCTGTGAAGAAAGCAGCCTTTGTCTTCCGTATTTAGTCCTTCTTAAGTGCACCTGTTGTTAGATATGGATCATAGAATCATAGAATATGCTGAGTTGGACGGGACCCATCAAGACCAACTCCTGTCCCTGCATGGCACATCCCCAGACTCACACCACGTGCCTGAGAGCATCATCCAAATGCTTCCAGAACTCAGCTAGACTTGGTGCTGTGGTCACTTCCCTGGGAAGTCTGTTCCAGTGCTCAACCACCCTCTGGGTGAAAAACCTTTTCCTGATATCTAACCTAAACCTACCCTGATAATGAACACAACTAGCACGTTACCAGAAACAAGGTTGAATGACCCACAGTCTTTTTTGTTTCCTCAGTAACTGCCACATTTTAGCTAAATGTGCCATATTTAAAAGAAAACTCTGAAAATACTAAATTTGTGATTGGTTTTGAAGACATTAAGGGTCAGAGGTCTCTTATAGGTTCTTAATAGTGGAAACCCACAGAGATGGGACAGATCAAATCTGGGAGCTCAGAGTCTGTAGAAAGGAGCCGGAGAAACTGAAGGTGACACAAGGTGACAGAATACATGTTAAGAAGGTGGGTTTTACAGCAACAGCAGCAAGAGACAATGAAAAAGCAAAGAAAAGTATGGGGATCATGGGACTCAAACCCAAAGGACAGCAGACAGATTTCACTAAGCTTAGACTTCATATTTAACAACAAACAAATCCCTTGACATCTTGCCTAAATCAAGACTTGGAGAGTCTTGATGGTAAATATTAACTTTTCAAAGGTCTTAGAAAAAATATTTCTGCATTTTCTGCTTTGGCTGCTCTATATAAAATTATGTACCATTAATACCCTAAACATTCAACACATACAGCTAATGTAAAAAGCATTCACAAGATTATTTTCAAGTTTTTCTTTTTAAATTAAACCCAGTGCTACAAATTTTTATGCTATACTTGATTGCAATTTAGGACTGTAGTTTTAGTAACTTCCTTATCAAAATGACAGGGGGGAAAATCTAGTACACTATACAGATGTCTTGATTTTGAAGGTGCGGGTCCTTCAGATTCATGGCAGATTTATATATAAGTAGTTTTGCTCCAAGAATTGCTAAGGAAATGTATAAATTTCTATTTAATGTATTTTAGAATACTGACTGGGGTAGACCTAGTAAAGAACTAATACTGAAGGCATTTCAAAGGCATACTATCATAATTGGAACACAGTCTCCAAATAATATCTTTCAAATCTCTCAGGTGTAGTTCATGTAAATCATCCGATATGAAAAGAAATTCAGACTTTATAGTGTGGATAAGAAACTACCTCCAAAAACAAACAAACAAACTCACAAAGAGCAGACACCAGCTCTTCCTTCTCCTGAACACTGGAATTCTTTAACACAGACCAATAACTTATTACATATATGCTCAATACTTTCAGTACCAAACTACCGAGGAGGAAGCCTTCTTACTAAAAATTTATTTAGGTATAATGCATTTAACTGCTTATGTGCATTTCCCTAATGGAAGCCACTGTAATTTGAAATCAACAGTTCAATAGTTCAGCTTTGTTCTTGCTCTGTTTTATGGCAATACTGTAAGATATATTTTTTAAAAAACAGGATATTCCTGAGAAGTAGAAAAAAATATTTAGTGGTGTAAAAAAATCAAGTCACTGTTCTTCGGTTAAAAAAAAGCATAAGAAAGGTAACACTGGAGCTTCACTAGAAGCAACACCAAAAAGACTACTACATTTTGTTACCAAAAGTAAAGGCTTACTTTAAAAAGAAATTAAAAACTGACATGAAAATACAAATGAAACAATACACCTGGAGGACTACAAAGAAAAAGAAGCACGGAAACCAAAACACTGGATATCAAGAACATCACATACAGCACAAAATACCATTACTATTTTTCTTTGTTTGCACTTGCAAGTAGTCATGGAAATTTCCCGGTTTGTTATACATGACTCTCTTAAATAGTAGTACTTTTGAAAACATCTTAAAAATACTCTACAGATCTGTCTTACGCAAGTCCCTTATGTCACAGGAACACAAGTCAAGAATTCTGTCTGTGATTAAATAAATATTCATCTTATTAAATGGGCTAGATTAAGTTTTTATTCAACAGTGGATAAAGTGCTATATATATATATAATAAGAGACCTGGGACCTGAAAGAGAATGCTCACCTAAAAAGCAGTAAAATTAGAAAAGGTAAGTGATGTCTAAAGACCAGATTTGGTTTCAATCACGACCAACCACTGACCATGACATTTCAAATGTTAATTCAGTAAGACCAAAACAAGATGACACTGCTGTTCAAGAATTGCACTTGTCTGCATCATGCTCAACACAACATGAAAAAAAACATATCCATAATTCAATTAGTCAAACTTAAGAGGAGGTCTGAAGCAATATAAAGTCCAATACATGACCTTGGGTGGAGTCAATTACAACAATCACAACCAGCCAGCCACTGGCAAAAGTTGGAGTAACCCAAAAGAACAGAAAGATTCTCCAGCAGCATCAGAGAGTTCTCCTAGTACTTCTGGGAAATGTAACAGCAGTATTTCAGAATTAGAAATTAGAAGTCCCCAAAGTGAAGGGAAACAGTGCAAAAAAATTAAATAATACCTTTACTTCAAGTATCACTAAACAGGCTATATACAAAAGTGGAACCATGTGCATACATCACTCATTCAATGTAAGTTCCTACTACAACCTGGATCCCATCCAAGGTCTGTGCACCAGGCTAGAGTAACTCACTGGAGAGTCTTAAACAAAATTTCAGATTTTTCCTGGAAATGAAAAGATGTGTAGAAGAGCTCATCATACAGCTAAAAGGCCATGAAAGCCAGACAACACTGCATTTCTGGTTTAAGAAGCAATATATGTTGGTCAACACAACGAAGCACATTGGGGAAGAAAGTAAAATAAACATAAGATTATTTTGGAGAAGTAAAGGAACGAGAAAAAGTTGGTAGCAATGCAGCGTTTTGGGGAGAGAAGCCATACTACAGAGATATTTACAGAAGGACTAGTCACACAGATCAGGTTGAAATCACCTCTATCACAGAGCCTCTACCAGCAACAAAGTTACAGATCCCATTGCAAGACTAATGAACAACAGAAGATAATAAGGAATGCAGGGCAGTTCAAGAAAACTACACCTCAGCTTCAAAGACATCAATAAGTGCTTAAAACAAGCAGGGTCTAAGAAAAAAAAAAATCCTAGTCATTAATAATACATGTATTAATTAGATGCTCTTCAAACACTATACCTTTCCCTTACTGAAAGGAGAGAGGCAAGGGCAAAGTGGAAAAATGAGGCATTATATTTTCCCCTTTTTCACACCTTAAAGGAGAAGTTTACGAGACTTTTATTGAAGTCCTAAGTCTTGCACATGGGTGCACAGTGCCATTACATCACAGTTCTGAGACAGGGAGACCAAGTAACAGATGGTCACCCTGTTCCTGAAACTTCATTTCTTGCCATGTTTTATCAAATCCTTTAAATGACTTCAGAAGAGTGTTAAAATGGGATATATTTTTTACTCTGAAAAGAACAGTCATTAAAGGAATAAGAATTTCTTTGCCAATCCTGTGTTACCACACTGTCCTTCCAAAATACCTCAAGGAATGTTCAGGAAGTACAGAAACCTAAAGACAGGCAAAAATATCATCCAGCAAAAATTGTGTACTCATGCTGAAATAAGATATGATACAAACATAAGTGGGAAAATTCATTCAGCAACGTTTTCTGCCTTAAAAACAAACAAACAAAAAATTCCACTGAAGACATTAGAATGGTAGCAATGAGCATCACTAAAGCATTCTTTGCCAGTAGTATTTTTAAAAAGTCTTTTTTAAAGGCATAATTCCTTATATATTATTATCCTTTGAATCCTACAAATGCAAACATCCATGTGTCAGAACTGAAATGAAGTAAAACATAGCTGCTATGACAGGCAGACTAGAGAGTACTCTTCAATTGCTATTCTAAATATTGG